TGAACATAAAATTGTCAACAATTTTGTGAGCTGGTCATTAAACACAGACATCATTAAAAATTAAATTACAAAGGAAATAAATCCCCCAAATAATCATGCTCTGAATATTTTGCTATACTTTACTATGATCTACGCTCTTGAGATGATTTATTTCCAGCGTATCTGTGTGGCAGAAACATTGTGTATGATGTGCTACTGTGCATCTCTTCCCACCTCCATGTTCAGTGAGGTGGAGTTAGTACCTTGAAATTAATAACGATGGGAGTATTTACACCACAGGAATCAGCAAATGCTACATATCAAGGTGTTTTTTTTCCCTCAGAGAGTCGGCTGTTAAACATTTACTAGCACACCCCTGAGCCTCTGGGTCCTAGGGCCCCCTCCTCCTTACCCCTGCCAGGGTGCAGAAGGAATGCAGATGACTTTAATCTGAACCCGAGATAATATAGCTACAGAGATTTGATTGCCAACTGCCTTGGATAACTCTTCCCAAGTGCGCAGTGGGCCCCTCCCACTCACCAAGTCGCAGACAGTACCCACAGTTTCTTCCCCTCCCCGGCCCTGCCCTCCCCAAACCTACTCTTCCTGAGCCCTAGTGAATGATGCCCAAGCTAAAAGCCTGGCAGTCATTATTCCTGCCTCTCTGCCACCCTCCTCAGTTAGACCCTGAGGACTGCCAACCCTGGTTCAGACAAGTCTTTGATCACTTCCTGCCCACGGCCACCACCCCTGCCATGACTGTGTGACCCTTGTCACCGTAACAGCCTCGTGGGTCTCCTTGCCTGTGGTCCAGCCCCTTCCAACCACCCTCCACAAGACGTCAGAGCAGTCTCTCTAAAACATCAATTGGATTATCTTTTCCTTTCTTAGAACCTTTGAGGACTCTGTCTTTCCATGGGACCAGTTCCAAGTTGAGATCCCGGCCCCTCTCTCTGGCCTCATCCCCTATTTCAGCCTTTATACGACTTACTTTCCAACCACAAGAGACCAACAGCCAACCCAAACATGCCCTGCTTTTTATGCTCTTTACATATGTCCTTTGGTTGAGCATGGGCTCCTTTCTACCTCCTTTCTATAACTGATGAGGTCCTACTCATCCTTCAAGACCCAGTTCAAATATCCCCTTCTTCATAAACCCTTTCCACCACTTTACCCTAGAAAAAGTTACTCCTTTATTGTTTCCTATGGCTGCTATCACAAATTACCACAAATTTGGCATCTTAAAACAATGTGAATGCATTATCTTACAATTCAGGGGGTTAGAATGCCAAAATGAGTCTCCATAGGCTAAAACCAGAGTGTCGGCAGGGCCTTCTTCCCTCTGCAGCCTCTGGGAGGGAGTCCATTTCCTCGCTCTTCCAGCTTCCAGAGGCTGTGTTCCTCAGCTGGGGCCCCTTTCCATCATCAGAGCCAGCAGGGTGGTCTTCTCTCTGACTTCTGCTTCCATCCTCACATTTCCTTCTAGTCTGACTTTGACAGTCTTGCTTCCTTCTTATCAGGACCCTTGGGATTACATTGGGCCATGCAGGTAATCCAGGGCAATCTCCCAATCTCAGGATCCTTGCTTTAATCATGTCTGCAAAGGCCCCTTTTCCGTTTAAGGTAACATATTCACAGGTTCCAGGGACTGGGACGTAGACATCCTGGCAGTGGGTAGGGGTGGATTATTCAGCTCACCCCACTGCTGCACTCCCCCAGAGCTCTTTGCCCAGACCTCCACTCAGCTGTCCTCCAAGGACCTCACAGCAGGGACTATACTTCTATTTATATTTTTATGATTATTTTAATAAATATATATATTTTTGACCCACATCCAGGGCAGAGTAAAACACAGAATAGCCACTCGCTAAATGTTTGTTGAATTAGTGGACGATACCATATCACTAACAAACAGATTGAGAAGGCTTTGCATCCATGGGCAAGCAGCTTCTGGAAAGCAGGATTCACGCAGAAACAGCAGACTGACGTCCTTGATGGGCCAGGCCGACGAGGTGAGCGACAGCGTTCTGGAGCGTGGCAGAGGTGAGAGGACAGGCTCCATCTGACGGGGGCAGCTACTATTTAGTTTTGAGGTTATGAAAAAATACCTGTCTCTCTTGGCCAAATCTTCCAGTTTTTTCCCCAGAAAAAGCTAAAATCCAAAATGTTTACACATGACACCCTCCAGTTTATACAGGTTAAATCTAATTTAAAAATTTGGTTCTGCATAGAGTCTGGGCTGTTCAGACACCTTCCTAGTCACTGAGCTCAGGCCTGGTTCACGGCCTGGAACCAGCGCTGTGGGAATGCGTGAAGCACAGCTCGGGCGGCTCCGTGGAAAAGACAGGAGTGCAAGTTTCATTTCAGAATATTTCCATCACAGGTGGTTAAAATGCACAAAGGCTTGATGCTTTAGACAGTCATTTTTGTTCACAATATACTGATTGGGGAGAAAATCAGGTGGTATGATTTTACTTTCATTTAAAAATCCTGTGTATTTTTAGGTGTATGCATTTTAGGTGGAATATAAGTGGATGAATGTAGGGCTACCTTTTTCCATGGAAGCAGGGGGAAGAGAAGTCCAGAAGGTTAAAACCCAAAGTTGGATTCAGTGAAATTATGAATAAAGTCAATTTAACATATTTTAAATGTTTATATCTCTATTTTCCATTTTTTCTTGCATAATACTTGCATAATAAATAATAGAATTGTTAAAGGGGGTGGGAAGACAGTCTCCTGGTGTCCTGAACAATTACCAAAAGAGAACAGTTTCTCCCTGATGGTCATGGGTCACTTGGGCACCAATGGTCTGAGCCTTGCTGTGGAACTTCCTATCTAGAATTCTCTGGCCACTTTCTGCTCATACTTAATACTCAGTTCAACGGTCACTTCTACCAGGAAGCCTGCCCTGACTTCCTCCTCTGATGCTCTTCTTCTGGGCTCCATGTTCTCCCTTTCTCATAACTCTGTCACTTTATCTTGTAATCCTTGGTTTAGTGGATCAGCTGTTCTCATCCTTTTTGCTATCCAGTGTCCCTAAGGTATATGGCCAATTTCCATCAACTAGCAGAGGCAAAAATCTCCAGAGTGGAAGAAGTATGAAAGTCCTCTTAATTAACTCTGGTGAGCCTTTTCACAGGGCACGTTTTCCCCGCCAACCCTCTTCCCAGCCACACTTCGTTAGGAGCCAGAGCTTCAGCTTCAACACCAGGACACTGCCTCCACGAGTGTGGTCCCCAGCACTGGGGAGAGAGCGCAGCCAGCAGCTGCCGCTCTCTGTGGGCGAGCCTAGCCTCTGTCTGGATTGACAGAGCTGTTTGTTCCAGAAACCTTGTATTCCTGGTCGGACCTGTAATTAATTATCCTAATATCTCTTGGTGTCTCTGTTTTGGTGTGTCATTACCAGGATGACAGCACGTATTTTTTACTGTTTCCTTGGGCCATGGCCATTCGTAATGTAAAACCAACAGCGGCAGTAGTAGCAATAACAACGTTTTTGAACACTACCTTCGTGCCAAGCACTGTGCCGTGCTTTCTACACACAGTTCCTTTTACTCATTATAGTTTCCAGGGCAACAGCAATGGATGGTGTTGCCGGCGTAGTGACTGTCTGCCAGGCCAGTGCAAGTGCTTGTTGTGCTTTATCTCTCTGAATTCTAACAGTAGCTCTGAGAAGCGGGTATCAGTTTTATCCACACTTTACAGAAGAGAAAACAAAGTCAAGTAACTTGCTAAAGATAGTATTTATTAGTGGGCAGAGCCAAGATATGTGACAAAAATAAGATGGGTAGTCATGTGAAGAATCATAAACTATGAACGAGAGAGGAACCTGTAAGATCCTCCGGTCCAGAGTCCTCATTTTAACTTTTTATCTTCTCTGAATCCACGTTTAACGCTCTTTTCATGAAAAAAACCTTCTAAATCCTAAAAAAAATCATGTCCTAGACAGTGGGCTCCTTCAAGGCAGGGCCAGTGGATAAGTCACCTTTCAGAGTTTCTTGAACAGATGAATGAATAAATGAATGAACGAGTGAGTGAAAGAATTGTATCACGTACTTGATGATGCAGAAGGTTAAGGACGTACTTGATGATGCAGAAGGTTAAGGGAACGAACGCTGTTGTTTATGAAGACTTGGGAAGCCAAGTGGCCCCTCTGGGGCTGATTTCAACTATGGCCCCACCATGGCCTTGGAGTTCCTCACATGAGAAGTGGGGTAGAATTGGCTCCATTTTCCCCTTACTGGAGTGGTGACATGGGCACACATCACCTGGACTAGTGGATGGCCTTGCTCGCTCCCCGTTCCCACCGAGCTTCCCCAAGTCAACAGCTGAGGTTTTCTCTCGCTGATGTGTCTGGGTTTCCTGCTTTGCCTGCCTGACACATGGTCAGATTTTTCCCTTGGGAGTCCACCAATAAAACCCCACAAAGGGCAAGGACTCCTCTGCCACCTTCAGGCTTCTGTGTGACCATCCAGGGGTACTTTGCAAAGTGACTTTCAGAATTAACTTATCAATAGGCCCTCAGCTTTAGCCAAAACCCAGCAGGAAGCCATAGAGCAGGCCCCCCTGGCCCTTCTATGTCCACCTGGAAAACCAGCCAACACCTGCCCCAAACGGCTGCTGGTATGTGCTCAAATGTGTCACCACCCAGGTGCTCAAATGTGCCATCACCCCAGCATCTGCTGCCATGGCGCCCCTGCAACCCCCTCCTTCCCAACAGAGTGGACCCACGAGGGTTTGCAAGGTGGTCATGGCCTCCTGTCCCAAACCCAGGCACATGGCCCAGCCCTGGCTCTGACAAAGGGACTCTGATATTGGGGGTCCTGGCAACCCGTCACCTGGAGCCCTCATTCCTGGGAGGCGGGCCTCTGGGAACTGATGCCCCTTATTTCAGGGAGAAGACCGGAGGAGCCAAACCTGCCTGATGAGCCACAAGGAGACCCGACAGCAGCCAGTCCAGCCCACACTGCACATGCAGACTCTCTCAGAGGCCAACAGTGACACTGAGTCCGAGCCCATACCTCTCCTTTGGGTCTTCTGGCCTCTGCACCTGAAGACGTCCATTCCTCAGGACGGGGATGAGGATGGAGCAAGACACCGCTGCTTGTCCAGGACATGAGCTCTGTCCAGGCCAGCCAGACCGCCCGGAGCAGCCAGTCTGAAAAGCCAGGACTGGAACTCTACCACCATGGGAACTTTGTTTCAAATAAAAATAAAAATTCTTCCTTGATTCGGCAACAGTCCTATCCCCCAGGAAATAAAAATAAAACAATAAATGAACATCCAGTCCCCAGTGTGCCTTTCTGTGCTGCTCCTCCCTCTCCCTCATCTCCCCCTCCCTTCCTGGCTTTGTTCTGAGAGTGCCCATCAGGGTCTCTGTGGAGGAACTGGTTTGGAAAGTGAGAAGGAAAAGCTGGCCTCCCCAGAGCCTGCCCAAATCCTTCCCTCATTCAAGAAGTGCTTGTGGAGTGCCTGCCCAGTGTCAGATACTGTGGCAGGCTCTGGGGCTTGGAAGTGTGTCCCTCAAGGCGGCCTCCCGGGGCAGCCTTCCCTGACCTTTCCCAGATGCCGTGTGCTCTCTGGTCTGTGATAGCACTGTGCAGCTGCCCCCATCTGCCACACAGTGGTTTCTCTTTCCTGCACGTGGACCGCATCTGCCAAGCCTGAGAGCGGAGCGCTTTCTTCTGTGCCCCAGCTGTGGGTACTCAACATCTGGTGGATCCCTTCTCTTGCAAGAAAGGACTCTAGGACTCAAACCTTGCTTTACCATGTGTACACACCCAGCACAGTGTGCACATTCTAGCTCTTGAACCCTCTCAGCTCTGTGAGGAAGGTATTGTAGCTTCATTTTTACAGATGAGGAAACTGAGCCTCAGAGAAGTACAATGACTCGCTCTAGGTCACACAGCTAGGAAACGGATTCAGGATTAAAATGTGGGTCTCCTGTGCTCAAAATGGGGTCTCCAACCCTTCTTAAGAAAGCACTTGGACTCATTTCCACTCTTCCCTCATCTCAGTAGAGACAGAACAAGAGTACTGGGAGACATTTCCTGACAGGGGAACCTTGACTGTTCCAGATCAGCTCTGCCTCTGGGCCAGCAAGGACAACTCTAGTTGAGGCATAGAATAGGACGTCCTTCCTCAGCATCTGCCCCAGGTAGACAGGAGCAGCTTCACTGTCTACCTTCCTTAGGGTAGACAGGAAGCAGTTGCATCATCTGAGACAAAGAGAAGCAATAGCTTTTCCTTACTGGGATGGAGCACTCCCAGCTCAAGTGCTACCTACTGTTCTATCCACTCTGGGGATCCCAGTTCTCAGAAGCTGTGGAAATGGGCCCAATAACCTGGCCCTGGGCTTCAGGGCAGATCTGGCCTCATAGGTGCCTCAGGAGATCAAAGAAGGAGTTGCTGCAGGCTCAGTGATGGGCCTTCCAGGGGGTGAAGAGCAGACTGTGACACCAACCACCGGTGTGGGGATGTGTTCCTTCACCATGAGATCTCAATCTTCTAAGCTGCCAACCCATGCCCCATGAGTTCAGGGCCCATGTTGCCTACTGAGAACAGCCATGCAACAGTAGCGAGAGATCTGACTGCCATCCCAGGGGTGGAGGCAGTCTTTGGACATATTTGTATCACATCCTTCCAGCAACAATGATTGGTTCAAGGGTGAGCCTGTGACCTGCTTGGAGACCATAAGACATAATAAGATTTTGCTGGGCATCCTGAGTAGATTCTTACTTTTAATTGCAGAACTTGAATATAAGAGGGTGAAAACAGAATCCTTCTTGTGATGGTGAAGAAGAACTTGTCTAAGAATGGAATCACTGGGAAAGAGAGAGCAAAGTGCCACCAAGAAACTTGGTTGTGAGCCTGCCATCTAGGGCCTTGATCAAGCTATGCCTGATATCCCTGGCCTTTTATGTTTCAAGAACAAATGAATACTCCCTTTTGCTTAAAGTGGCTTGTACTGGCTTTTTTTTTTGGCAAACATCCTAGCATTTGTAAAGTGGGCTCTACAGAGTCTTTCTCAACACCATATGCTTTTCTCACCTTGCTGCTCTGCTGCCTACCTGAGAGTTTGAGCTGGAAACTCAGATCTAGAGTAAGTTATCTTGCCCTAAGTTATTCCCTAATGAAACTTATCACCATGCCCCTTTCCTCAAAACCTGCTCCTCCTTCTGCCTTTTTTGCCCCTATGTCTGGATTCAGCATCCTCCCAGAAACCACAGCCCAAACCTCTGAATCTCCCACCCCCATTACACCTGTTCCCTAGTTTTCCCTCTACTGCACACACATTTAAACTGAGGCTCCAGAGAAGGGAGTAGGTTTGACCAGCTTCCATGTTCCTGCCTAAACAATAACCTGGTGAACATAATGACAAGTTTGTGTAGTCAAATTTCAATCTTCAAATGATGTTGCCTCCTTCTGGTTAATCTCCAAGGACTCACTCCACCTATTTCCTAGCTCAGAGTTGGACAGGATCTGAATGCTAACCCTCCCTAGACCTGAATAATGAGAGGCTGTGTGAACAGGCTTGACACCCTCTGCCCTGGACCCCAGCCCCACAATTTCAGGGGAAGACTCCAGTTTGCAGGACAAGAAAGAAGCTCAAACCTTGGCCACCAAGGCCAATGGAGGGGATAGGAGCCATTGTAGATCTTGGTTGAAGTCTTTTATTTTTTTGCACCAAAAAATCTGAGCTGAACTGCATTTGTAATTTGATCCACTCAAAAGATGCTCACTGAACAGAGGCTATGGACACAGAAGGCAAGCTAAAGTAAACAGAGCAGTTCCCTTGGTACCCAAATCTATGCAAATAGCTGCAGGGTTTGAGTCTTTAAACACCCCTTGAGAGCAGACCATGGTCAACAGTGATGTGAAATGACCTGGGAGAGTAGAAGGGGGGAGGGTGAAGGCAGGAGCTTGGGAATAGGTCTCCCAATAGCAAACTGATGGCATAGGGATAGGAATTGCATCGTATTGGTGCTTAATGATATGAGACAGGAAGCAACTGTAGAGGGTCTCTCTCCAGGGGGGCCATCATCTTTTTGCGATGGAAAGATAGGGAGCACACAAAAACTACTCCAAGGCATCAGCAGAAGAGAACCAATATTAATTGTACCAAGCCCTCTACCTGACTCTTTATGTCCTTTATCTTATTCAGTCCTTACAACAGCCCTGCATGGCATTATTATTCCCATTTTGCAGATGAGAAAACTAAAGCTCAGAAAGGATAAGTCATTTGCTCCAGGCATTGTGATTACTAAGTGCTGTAAATAGGATTTGAACTCAAGGTAGTAGGACTCCCAGCCCAGGGTTCTGTTCCACACACCATGATGAGGCTTCTAGGGCAATAGAGAACCCAGCAACAGTGATGTCAGCCACCAGCACCAGCACCACTTTTACAAAAGAAACATGACCAGAAGAGCTTTTTCTGGTGAACAATTCGCCAACTCATCTTGGGAAAGGTATTGTCCTTAACTTCAGATTCACAGATGTTCTGTCTGTTAAATGGCAGTCTGCTATTTACATAATATTTCTCCTTGAGTTAATTGTTTGGTGAACAGCATAGAGTTCAATCCAGGGTTTAAGAAGCTTCTGGAAATGCAGAAGCTTCTGGGAATTTTTGCCTGCCTTTCCAGATAAGAGAATCTGATAACTAACCAGAAAATAGACCCCTGGGAGGGTAGGTTCTCCTGATGAAGTAATCCATTTTCCAAGTGGAAGTGGACTTCCTAAAACATAACTTTGGTTATATTTCCTCTTTGAGTAAAACATTCTGGTGACATTTAATACACTGATTCCCAAACCTGAGAATGCCTACTAGAATTGTCTGAGGTGTTTGATAAAATGCACACTCCTGGGCCCATCCCAGATCTACTGAATCAAAATATTTGGGGGCAGGGCCCAGGAATCTGTAGGGCTAACAGCCCTTCAGCGGAGTCTGATGTAGCATATCCAGAAGACTAGAGCTGTCTCCTGGTCCACAGATAAAGGTCAGGTTCACTGGAGTATGTGGCACTTTCTGCTCTAAGCTCACCAACCTCTCCTGTTTCTTCTTCAGAGACTACCACCAAGGCACCCCACACCCCAGTATCACCTCAGGCCCCGGTTTCCAGAACAACCTGTACTTTGAAGCCTTCCTTGTGCTCTTTCTGCCCGAAGGCCCATCTCTGCCATCTTTCTCCACGGGAGACTCTATTCTTCAGGAGCCACCCCACGACCCTTGCCACACCAACATCTTCTGCTCATTTCCTTTCAGAATTTTCAATTGTTTAGTTAGGAACATAGACCGTAGAGGCAAATAGGTGGGGTTTTATTTTGTAAAACTCGGTGACTTTGGCTGTTAAATCTCAGTGTCCTCACAAATTGTTGTAAAAAACTAGTACACAAATATATGCACACTCTATATAGAGTGCCTGGTACAGGGTCTAGCACAGAGCAAGCTATCAAAATGGTAGCTTTCATCATCATTATTATTATTAGTAGTAGTAGTAGTAACATTCCCCTACTATGATGAATTCTTCTTACTCAGGTTTCAGCACACTATGGCCTGTGAGCTCAACCTGACTCACTGACTGTTTTTGTTAATAAAGTTTTATTGGAATATAGCCACGGTCATTCATTTACATATTGCCTATGGCTGTTTTTGCAGGACAAGGGCAGAGGTTAGTATTTGAAACAGACTCTACCTGACTCACAAATGCTAAAATACTTACTATTTGGCTCTTTATTTAAAAATATTTGCCAATCCTGCTTTAACATTTTGCAATTACAGTGGTATCTCAGTACTTCTCTTTAATTCATTCCAGAACTTGTGACAAGTGCTGAAACTGGTAAGTATTGAACAATGAAATGCTTTCTCTCCTGGGGCAGTGTTGTGACTCATACAAGTTCCAGCAAGTGCAACGAGTCCTGAGCAAGCGCCAAGCACTGAAACAATTTTTTTTTTCTCATCAAAATGAGAGGAGTACAGGGTAGGACGAATTCTGAAGCCAATGAGCACCAAGGTATGACTGTATTTGTTTTCAGGTTGGTCTCCTCCACTTGGCTAACAGCAGTTCAGTAGTTTTCACGCAGACTCCTATTCATCCTTCAAAACCCAATCTTTCTCAGTTTTGTATCCCCAGTATTTGATATTTGATTCAGGTTTGGCAAATGTTGACTCAAATTATTCTTTAACCCACTTTAAATGCACACATCTCTGAAAAACCCTAAGAAGGGACAAGGCTAACTGAAAACC